TGCCCCGAAATGCTAATTTTTGGCAAGTAGGCATCTTGGACGTTGTTCTTTCAGAATATCTTGACAAATCCCATAATTTCACAAATTTAATTTTTTGTGATGTCACACTTTCGTACTCTATGACCCTAAGTGGATGCCTTTACCAATCAAGGGTGTGTAGTAGTTACAGGAGAGTTAACTGAACTTACAGTAAAACCCTGCGTATAAGAACCTGGGTTTTAAGAACCTGTTAGGCTAAAATTTTATTTTAAGCCCCCTCCACATAAGAACCTATTAAGGGCTAAAATTTTAGGTTAAGTTCTTATCAGTGGAGTTGCTGTAAAAGTGTATAGGTAGAAACTGCTGAATTCAGATCATCATCTGATTATATTTAAAAGTAACAACAGTTTTTTAAGGACATACCTGCACTATACTGCCTTTAGGCATTACTGTACGGTATAAATGATTTATATTGTATCATGAGATGATATTTATAATATATTTAAATGAAATTCATTTGAAAATATAAGAACCTATTTTAAGAACCTTTATTGTCTAAATTTGCTTTAACAGGGGCGGATCCAGGGGGAGGGTGCAGGGGGTGCGCACCCCCCCTGGGATGACCTGCGGCCGCTTTCTAATTAACACTGTGCAGTCGCTTGACAGACATACAAAATCTGCTCTATCGTTTGATATGTATTCTCAGCAGTTCACATTATGTTATTTCCTAGTCAAAAGCCCTCTTCTTCATATTCGCTTTTAAATTTTTTTACGTCATCGGTCAGTTAGTGGTGCACCCCCTCCTAAGAAAAATCCTGAATCCGCCCCTGTTTAAGTACCACTTATATAAGAACCTGTTAAGGCTAAATTAAAAAATCCAGGTTCTTATACGCGGGGTTTTACTGTATCTGTACGAGGAAGAAATGTTTGTTAATAATCATTTATTTTTTTTCTTTCTGACATTTTGTGCAACTTTAATTGAATTTGTGATGTTACTTTTTAACATTTTAGGGAAATTGTAGATCGAGACACCGCGGCACAGCACCAAGAGCTTAAAAGGAAAGAATATGGCAAATGTTCCACCTCCACTCACCCTAGAACTTCCCAAGAAAAGTGATCTTCCTAACACATGCAAAGCTTGGAATGAAGTCCATCTTCCAATTGACATTCTTTTGTTGACAGTGGAGGACAGTGAGTTCTTAGCCTGTTTTACATACTTAAGAAATTCCTTTAAAAGCTACCACAAGAACCTTGGATATGTGTACTTTGGGAACATGGGTGAAAATGGAGATGTGCCCCTAAAAGTTGCTTTGATGACATGTTCCAAAGGCTCTTCTGCTCCAGATGGCTCACTGGTCACTGTTAAGAATGCCGCGTTGGAACTGAGACCCAAAGCTGTTTTCTATGTTGGCTGCTGCGGTGGGTTGAACCCAGAAGTCACCAAGTTACACCTGGGTGATGTGGTGTTATCCTCTAAGCTTACAACTGAAGCATTCAAAACCCCAGTGGGTAGAGATATTTTACGCCTCATCAGGTCTGCAGATCATGGTTGGATTCCTCCATTAAGAAATCCAGAAGATCATAAAGTTCAGGTCTACTGTAATGGGGAGATTTTAAGTGGCATAAACCCAGTCAGTGCTAAACAGCAAAACGTGTCACATTTTACTGAAGCTACTGCATTAGCATTTGGTGGAGAAGGTAAGATATTTATTCCCTGTTAAATGACATCATTCCTCTCTTGTTACATTTTCTTACGAGAGGAGTGGTGGCCCATGGTCTACATCTCAAACTTTAGATCTAGAGGGTCCAGGTTGAGGCCTTACTGCACTTTGTGCTGTTTCCTTGGACAAGAAACTTTGATTCACTGTCCCTCTCCATCCAGGTGTGTAAATGGGTGCTGGTTATGATCCTTTGTGATCCTGTTTTCAATCTGATTTTTAAAGATCTATTCTATGTTTGAACAATGATGTTTATGTTTGTGTAACTTGCTGTATTTTCTATACTAAATTATGCATAAAAAATTGATCGGAAGACAGTAGTTTATGTAGTGTTTTCCTTTGGATAAAATACAAAAGGATAGTTAAATTCTATTAACATCCTAATGCATTAGCTGGTTTTTTGTTTGTTTGTCCTGTTTTTTTTATTATTTTTTAAATATGCTGATTTATATCTGCCTTTTAAAATCACTATTACTATTTTCTGCCTACCTGTCTGCATGGTAAATAATATTGTTTATGTTGTCACATCTTGATCAACCCTGGCTGTGATGCTCACTGGTGGATCTGTTTGCATCTTGAATTTTTAATGATTTGTTGTTGTTTTTCCAGGCCTTTTTGCTGCCGCACATGATCTTAAGATTGAATGGGTGATTGTAAAAGGTATTTCTCAATTTGCCGATGGTACCAAGCCTGCAGAAAATTCTTGGGAGAGTCATGCATGCTTAATGGCAGCTTCTCTTGTGTCCAACATGTTGAAGGATCCATTTGTGTTTGAGCAATGGCCTCATTATGAAGGTAGGTGACAATATGCTCTTTAATCAAACCATATCATAATTAAATCTTCACATTTTTGCAGAAGTGTTTTTGGTTAAGTACTGAGGTTGATTTAAAATACTCAGCCACATTTTTCAAACGTCATTAATTAATCTCTTTTTTAAATAAACTTTAAAAAGGGTAGAGTTCAACATTTTCTTTGTCAACTCACAACTGTTGGAAACTATAAGATGGGTAAAAGAAAAATTGTCAGAAAAAGATGAAGAAATTGGTCTGGAGGACAGGAGGGAGATGTTTGATGATAAAATTGACTGGCTGCTCATCATACTATTTTAGGCAGTAAGATTTGTGGGTTGGTACTGGGTAAGTGCATACTTAGGGACCTAAAGGGTAAAATGACTCTTGTTTAGAGCTTCAGTGGTATCTGTTAGGGGCCTGTAAGGTTGGGTGGGAATTATTTTGTTTCTCAAGTAATTTTTGGTACTTCTTAGGCATTAAAATTAATTTCCTACACGCCCACAAAGCTAGATTCTGTTACTTTGTAGCGGTACTTTTGATTTTTTTTTTTACAAAACCCCTTTTTTTTTTGTTTTTGTTTTTTTTGTTTGTTTGTTTCTGTTGTTGTTGTTTTTTAAGCTCCCAATTTATATCTATAGAGGGGTATCTCCTCCTTTTGGTATCTCACGGAGGGTAAAGTGAATTTCTGCCATGCCCACAAAGTAAGATTCTCCTACCCTCTAGGTATGATTTTTATTATTATTATTATTTATTTATTTTTTTTTTGACAAGCACTCCTGTTATCTTTAATATTTTTTTGGAAAGCGGTTCAAAAAAAAAAAAAGGAGGACTCTTTTATAGAGCTTAAAATGAATTTCTTCCATGCTGACAAAGGAAGATTCCTGTACCTTCTAGGGATACTTCTTGAATTTTTTATTTGAGTAGCACCTCAGTTGTTTAATAGGGTAGTATCTCCTTCTCCCCCGCCTTCCCCCACTCGCTGAGAACAATGGCAACCAACTTTACAGGGATTTCAGTAAGGGTTAACAAGTATGGATTTCTCCTGGCTGCTATGAGCATGACCCTTGGTCACTTTAATGGGAAATAATAGGAAAATAGAACTGAAAGAATTTTCAGGATGTTCTATTCCCTACTCGGCAACTTTAAACCATAGTTACAGTCCTGAACCCTAACCAGCAAGCTCTCCGCATTGCAGGCTTTATTTTCTGCTTTGAGATCATTCTAGAACTCTACCCTCTCGCTGGTTGATTGCTATGGTTTTGAAAGGCCCAGGAAATATATATATATTTTTTTTCCTGTTTTGGAAAATGTTTTTGAACTGCAACTGCTTACTAGATCCCTTTCAGAATCAACTCAGTGTGCAGCTGAAATCCTGCATAACCAAGTTTAAAACATAAATTTATTGTCTAAAATTGTGCACACTGCGACCAGACATCATTTAGTGAATTAAAATGTCAGTATCACCCACAATTCAGTAAAAGCTAAGATGTAAGCTTTCAGTCCCAAGACAAGCTGCTCAGTGCTTTTTGTTATTGAAACTTTATTATTCAGTCCCAGAAACTAAAATGTGAGTAGTAAAAAAACTGACAGATTGATAAACATTTTCCCCAAATACTTTTGAATAACCCATGTTTTAAATGTCTTAAATTTCTTTTCTATTTTGTTTAACTCACAGACCCGTCAGCAGTTAAGCAGCCCTCTAGCTCTACGGCCACTAAGGAGGTGTCACCAGGTACTATTATATCCTATAAAGCAGAAATGGTACCAGACATATAGGGTCTGCCGGATTATGCTCGAAAAATAGAGTATTATGCTTTCGGGCATCACCCGTGAAACTAGGGTATTGTTGTAAACGGGAGTTGATTTCGTGGCCAACAGATAAGTGTCGACTGCTTGAGTATCTCTAGACCTGGTCGGTTTCGGGCTATCAGTATTCTAAGAGACTTGCACACACTCAAGTCCTGATCACATTCACATTCCTGGTTAATATTGCTAAATCAAGGTACTTTTATACATATTGGTAGCTAAATCATACGTGGGAAAATATAGTAGGGAATGCATGTGGTTTTAATTCCTTTCTAGTAAACACCCTAATTTGATTGAAAGCTTAAAACACTATTACACCTACATTACTTACGTAAATCCTGAGCGACTAGGTTTGAGTAATCATTCCATCCTACACAAAATCCTATCAGTTTAAAGGGTGTAGCTTGTAGCTTTTATGCTATTCCGATTGGAAGGCACATCTAACTATCTGCTTTACACGATGCACATTTTTGCACGCTTGCTTACACAATAGGGATCATATTTCCGGTTCCTATCAAGCTAGTAATTGATCTATTGTTCACTCAAGATTAACAAGTCACGATTCATTGTACAAAGTGTCACAAATTCTTTAACTTTACTTCAGTATTATGCTGAAAATTATGCTCGACTGGAGGTATTATACTCAAATTATGTCGGACTAAAATGACACTTCCACCCCACCCCCCNNCCCTCCCCCCCCCCCCCCCCCCCCCCCCCCATAGGCCTGTATCTATTAATAAACATTCCTAGTCTTTCATTTTTGAAAGAATTGTTAGACAATAATTATTCAGTTAAACATTTGATGAGCAAGCGAAAGGTCGGAAATTGTGAGGCATTGAAAGGCTTACTATATGTCTTTCTCCAATGAACTTGGATTATAGCAAAATGCACTGGGTACAACTCTATAACGTATCAAGTCAAAATATTCCCGCTTTTATCAACGTTGTACATTCCAGAGTGTCGCTAAGAGCGAGTTGCTGGCAAAATTTGCATACACCACTCATAGTTTTCAGAAACAGAGGCATTATGCTCCAAAAATATTAATATTATGTCAGCATTATGCCTGATGCTCCAGATATAGTATTATGCTCAAAATTATGCCAGCATAATCCAGCAGACCCTACAGACATACATAGAGGATATTACACGGTGGTGAGAAGATATGAATTTTATTTTCGAGTGGCAAAACAAAAGCCACCGTGTAATGTTCTTTTTATTATATAGACAAAAAGACATCAATAAAATAATAGATTTTATTTGCCAAAAAGTAATTGTGACGGTTCAAATTTACAGTACAGCAATATGACATTGGTTACAATAATCTTGAGAAATATCACTGAGCTGAATAGGGCTCTACAATGACAAAATACTAAGCAACGCATTGAAAAATGTGGAAGTAAAATTCAAAAGACACAAGACGCCTACAAATTTTCAGTGGAAATTACCGACATTACGTCATCGATAAACTCACATGTGAGATTATGGAAAATAAACCAGTCAGGTCCCGGATGTAGTTTTAATGAATTTTAAGAGTGGTATATTTTCCAGTAAAACACTCGTGTCTATATAATAAAGTAGATTAAAATGTTTACTTTCATATGAAAATGACTTTTATAGTTTGTTTTATTGCAGTACAAAATGATCTTTATTCTCGCAGTTGTTTATATTTATTTCAAAAATATATTAAGTAGCAAAGAAGAAGTATGATGTGATACTTGAAGCGTCAAATTCTTTTTCTCATTCAATTTTTCTGTTAAAATTTTGCTAAGGTATTTTTAACCTGCGTTAATCCTTGAGGTCAGTTATAAAAAATAAGAATTATTTTTAGCGCTCAACCCCAAACGTCACTAACGGCTTTGGACAGGTAGCCCTCTATTGGTGTCTCCTCTTTGAAGCTCTCTTTGTAGGGTAACGCCCCTTTCACTTGCTTTACTGATGCAGTCTTCAAAGACATTTACATATAAATGTTACTCGGCCAAGGCTGCCCATCCCGCCATATTCATAATTTGTAATTGTAATAATTAATGATTCTTTATTTAGCTCACAGTGAAATTACATTTTTAACTTTTTTATAACTGAAATTTGTGCTAGGTTATAACTTTATAATATAAGAGAAATAATAAGTGTGAGCTGGGAAGCTAAATATGTGACCGTCCACAGGATTTTAATGCTAAAGGTGAAAGCACGCGCACGACACGCTTTCACTTTAAAACAAAAGAATTTATTTTAACATGCTTTAGCACGCTTGCAATCTTGCCTTATTAGCAATTTCTTTTGTTTCAGAGGACACGCTTGAGACAATTAAGCGTGAGCAAGTCGAAGAAAAGAGCGTGTTAAAGTTTTCAAACAAAAGCTCCGTGCGAAAAAGCACAACACGCTTTCAGTGTGCGCAAACCACGCAAGGCGTGTTATCTATAAGCTAAATAAATTTCCCCTACAAAAAGGAACCGTAAATGATTATGAACGGCACCCTTTTTTGGTAACTATCGAGAAAGAAAAAGTTCTACCTAAGCGATTGCAGCGATATAGCATCTGATTGAAAAAACATTGTCACTTGAAAAGTGTGAACGGTGGGCTTCAGCATTATTTTCCCGAAAAATTTAGCTTCCAATTGAAAGTTTTAGGAAAGCGAGAATTTCATCGTATTTTCGGTTCCGAAAATTTTAGGATTCCTTTCTCTACGAAAAAAAGCTGGGGATAGATAAGCTTCGAAAATTCATGTATATGCATGGAACGGTCATCTAGAAATGTTTAGCCTTCCTCAACCTATAGAAAATTCTAGGCAGTTTTTGTTTCTCCGATTTAATTACCTTCGTTCGTCTCAGCATGGCTCAAAGAAATATATTAAACTAATTTATTCAACTTCATTTCTCTGTGCATTACTGCAAATAAATATTCCGGTACGTGACATAACTATAATTTTCAGGCGACATAAAACTTTAGTGCCTCGCATGCGATAGCAGGCCTCTTTACGATTCCGATCAACAGCCGACAGCCGGAGAAATTGGTTTACACTGACCTCGCGTTAATTCCAGGCTAGACGACCATTAAGTGGTGATTTTCAAATGGCTATGGTTACGATCTTACGATCTTACATGTCTTACCCCAATTGCACGCTAAGCGTGCTATAATTCGCACACTTACCGTGACATATGGNACACGCTTGAGACAATTAAGCGTGAGCAAGTCGAAGAAAAGAGCGTGT